GCCGCAGGCTTCTCCGCCGCTCGCCGCGGCGGGGGCGGGCACGGCGGTTGCGGCGGTTGTTGCGGGCGGCGGGCCGGGGTCGACGGCGGGCAGCAGCGAGGAGGGGGAGGGGCGCGGGGCGAGCGCGGGGGCGTTCCGACTCAAAATGCAGTCGCGGCTGGCGCTGGTCAACGGCTACGTGTGGGTCAACACGGTGCTGACGCGCGTGCTGCTCGCCACGCTGCACGTTTTCGGGCAGAATGTGCCGCTCGGGTGACCTGGCGCCCACAGTGTTAGCTGATCCTGTAGGGCGCGGTGCGATGTAATTCGAGGAGCTTTGGTGCTGCCGGCCTGAGCGCCCCGGGCGCCGCGTGGCGGGGGGCAGTCCCGTTGCCTTTCCGGTCGTGTTGTGCACTTGTTCTATTGGGGTCCAGGCCTCTCTCGGTCCGCACCAATTTTCTCTGGTTGGACCGCGGTTTGATTCGGCTCCGTTGATTTGAATGTGTGGTGACGCCGCCCCCATGGCACTGCCTGCGGCGCAGCTTTTTTGTGCATGGCAGCATCAGGGCAGTGCGTGAGAGCCACGAGAGAGCAGCCCGTGAACAAACAAATTTGACCCGTAGGCCTGGCTCCTGCCATCATCCAGATGCGTGAGCACCGCCCTTGAAACGCACCCGCGCCCCCCGCTTCTTCCCCGATTGCAGCAGCTCGGGCCGCCAAACCCCCTTCCTTTTGCACCCCTGAGCCCGCGCCCGCCCCTCGCACCCTCCAGCGCCTGCATTTTGCTGATAAGCGCACCGCTGGCAAGCGCAACCCCTCCGTGCCACTTGGAGCGCCCTCCGCGCCACTTTCCCACACGATTTTCTTGGCCGATTCCGCTTCTGTTGGCGCGCACGCGCGCCTTCACGCCCGCTCGGCCGGCCGCAGACCACCAGAGAGCAGCGTCTGCAGGCTTTGCCGTGGATCTGGGGCCACGCGTCGATGCATTGCTGCCACTCTGCTCGTGATATGTCCATGCCATGTCCCCGTCAATGCAGGCAGGCGGCGCGACCACCTCTCTACCAGACCTTGTGCAGAGTGACAGATCGGGCGCAGCTGAGCGGCAGGAACAGATTCCCGTTTTGTAACACCTCGACTTTGTGCTTCGTACTTCCAAGCACATGGCATCATCTCACCATGGGTTGCCTTTGATTACAAGTGTAGTCAGCGAGGGTGTCGGCTGGGAAACATCATCAGCCCTGAGCACAAAACCTCTACCCCGTTTTGTCCACAATCGCAGCAAACGGTCATACGCACACACAAACGCTGATCGCCTCCCCTTCAAGTAACGACTGCGAATGCAGTCGACGCAGCCGCCGAAGAGCCTGCCTGCAGGATTAAAACGCGGCGCTGCCCACCCCTGCCGCAAAAAGTGTGGACGCATCAACCTCGGTCCCAGCACGCATACGCAGCCCGCACTCTCTGATTTGCATTCTCTGACTTGAAACCCTCGCTTTGTGTCAGAATACACCAGCCACAACAGCAGGGCGCGCAGCCCTTAGAAAAATCGACGCCGAGCCAGGTAGAGCGTACCGCCCGCCATGCGCGGTCCATCCATCACAGCACCATCTTCTTCGGCGGCTCGAAGCTGCGCAGCATGGCCGTGAAGAGCGGCTTGTACTGCCCCACCTGGCTCTCGCGGCACTGGGCCGTCACCTGCGCGTTGCCGGGTGAGAAGCGCACCGATTCGAAACCAGGTCAGTCGTGCGTGGTTGGATCCAGGGTGTCGCCAGCAAGGGGAGGGCCGGAGCTCCAGGGGGGCATGACTGGCAAACCAAAGCCCGTCGGGCGCCAGCTTTGGCGCGGCGCCCCAAGCATGCCGATTGCGGGCCCGGCAGCCCGCAGCGCGGCCAGGGGCCCGGCCTGTGGCCTGACATCCTTGCGGCCCGGCGGCGCGGCAGGACGGTAACGCGGCGTGGCCGGGGGCGCGCCCCCCACGCACCGTGATGAGCCGGTTGTACCGGCCGTTGAAGCCGAGGGACACCGCCGACAGCAGGTGGCGCGGCTGCTCCTCCAGCGCAGGCTTGTGCACCGTGTACTCAACCTACAGGGGTCAACCAGCATGAGGGAGGGGGTGGTTTGAGCGAGTTTGCGTGGAGATGCAGACGTGCTTGTTTGTGGTGCAGGTTGCGGCAGACAATGAGGGAACGAGTCACGCAGGCGTGTATTTGTGTGCCTGCACACAAACAGAAGACGCTGCCAGCACGCCGGCGTGCATAGTTACTTCAGCGCAATTTAAGCAAGATGCGAGAGGGGCTCGCAACGCCCGCGCTTGCAGGGAAGGCCAGGGGGTGAGGAAGGCAGGGTTGTCCTGGGGGGTGGGGCGCCTCGCTCACCCAGTACATGTCATTGCGCTCGTTGGCATCCAGCAGCTTGGCGATCTGAGGGGAACGGGGGGCCAAGAGGGGTGGGGCGCGGGTGACGTCACTGGGCGTCAAGGGGCCCCGCGGCTGGGAGCCGCGGACGGGTTGCGCCCCTGGCACCCTGGGTTGCGGGAGCAAGCTTCCTGGGGCGCCGCTGCAGACTGCAACGCTTTCAGGCGCACCAAGACTCACCTGCAGACCCAAAACAACACATGCACCTTGCACACAGGAAGCATGCAACAAACCCTGTGGCAGGCGCATCCCACGCAGCACACCCTACGCATGCTTTGTTTTGCCCGCACCTGCAGATCCGGCGAGTTTGCCTTGCCCTTGCTCCTCAGGAAGAAGCTCGTGTCCATCGAGTTGACCAGGTTTTGACCGAACGAGTACACGTTGCCGAAGCTGCCGAGCTTCGTGAACTCGAGGCTGGTGTTGGTGATGGTGATCGTCACGTTGACGTCGTTGGCACTGGCGGAGCCGTCATCTGGGAACCAGGCCAGGGTGCGGCGCGCGCCCGTGGCGCCTGCAGCATGCAGGGTTTTTGTGTGTGTGTGTGTGTGTGTGTGTGTGTGTGTGTGTGTGTGTGTGTGTATGTGTGTTGTGTCAAAGGTGAGTGGACGCGTGCACGTATGAGCGGTGACGACACATGCACTTCGCTCCACAGCTACCACGAGGTCACACCAAAGGCAGAGGGATGAAAAGGCAGCAGATGGCTAACCCCCCTCCAACCGGCCGCTTTGGCCCCCAGGCCCGTGGTCCCAAACTCCACACGCCAGCCGCCCACCAGAGAACGACGAGTTGCCCGACAGCACGCCCTCGCCGCTGCCCCAGTCGCCCGGGATGCTGATGGCAAACCCCTCATCATCCACATAGCGCGTCAGCGCCTGCGCCGCCGCGGGGGAGGCTGCCGCAGCGCCGGCGTCTGCCAGGGCCGCGGGCGCGGCGGCCACGAGGAGCGCCGCCGCCGCGCCGGCCAGCGCGGCGCGGCGGCTGGGGGCGGCGTCGGCGCCGGCGCCTGCCTGGGCGCGGCAAAGCACGGCGGCGCCTGCGAGCGTTTACCGCCGAACAGATGACCGCGTCCAATCGGCGGATCGGTTTGGTCATGAGGGAGTGGACCCAGGTCAAAGGGTGTGGTGTGCATGGAGCGCGTGTGTTGCGCAGCTGGTGGTCGCCAACCTGCCACCGTGTGGTTAGGCTGTTCTTGCCAAAACAAACAGCAACCAGCAGTTGTGCGGCTCCAGCTGCATGCTGCCCCACATGCGGCCTGGGATGCGGGCCTCAAACTCCCACAGACGCGGCCAGGCCGGCGCTCCCAGGGGGTGCCGTGCCGCCGCCGGCCCACCTCGCCGTGCAGATGGCCGCATAAACAGCCTAGGCTCGCTACATCTCTGTCCTGCAACACAGCGCTGGCCCGCGCTCTGCATTTGTGCTCTCGTGCGTCCGGAGATCACTGGTGACGAGCTTTGAACGCTTTTCAATTGTACGTCACGGGTTGCGAGGATGAATGTGCAGATGGAAACAATCGTCACGGGGACTCGGATACTTATGAGGTCCTGGTTTGATCTTTTTGCGACTCGGCACCTCGTGGTCGTGCAAATGTGCAGTGACGGTGGCGTATTAGTGTTCTAGGCCCTAGAAGGCAGCGCAGGCGTGCTTCTCGCTCACCATGAACCTGGAGGCGCAATTTATGGCCAGGTCGGGGGCGCGGCGGCATTGCTGCTGGTGCTGTGCTGAGCTCGCTGCAGCAGCCTTGCAGGGAGGGTTGCAAGTGCAGGGCGACCATTGGCTGCGAGCATGCTACAGAGCACATCAATTGCAAAATAATGGCCGTGACACAAGGCCAATCCTCGAAATCAAAACGCCACACCTCCCCACAGGCGCGGCTGGCCCGCCGCTGGCGCACGCGCCCGGCCCGCCGCCCCCGCGCCCGCCGCCCTGCGCCCCGCCCAGCGCGGCCGCACCGCTCCCGTCGTCGCCGCCACCACCCCCAAGCGCAACCCCTACCTCGAAATCAAGAAGGACCTGCTCCCAGATGGCGTCCCCAACACGCCCATGCGGCGGCTCACGTTCCGCATCCGCCACGCCCTCAGCCTCCGCCAGCTGGCGGAGGTCTACCGGCGCGCGCGCGTCGTGCCCGCGCTGTGGGAGCCCAAGCACGGCGCGGGCATTCTCATGCGCGTGGCGCGGCTGCTTTACTACAGGCGAGAGAGCGGTTGCACGCAGCAGGACGCCGCGCCGCGCCGCGCACGTCCGATTTTCCCGAGCAGCCGGCCGCATGCGACCCTTCCTCTCTGCCCCGGCACGGCGCGAGGTTGGGGCGTGCCGCAGTGCCGTCGCTGCTGTGTCCACACCCCTGAGCCGGGCGGGGGGCACAACCTGCGGCGGCCAGCTGCGCTCAGCCAGCAGCACTATTCCGCCAGTACCTGGCGCCAACCCGCCTACTGACATGCACCCCACCCCACGCCGCCAACAGGCTGGCCGCCGGCTGGGCCCCCGACGAGGCCACCAGATCAGATCTCGCGTCGCTGCTGCGCCTGATGGCGCCAGATCTGGGGGACTCGGCCTTGATGCGTCTGGTGGAGGGCCCGCGCGCCGCGCAGCTGTTAGTCGTAGCGGCGCGCGCGGGGGTGGACGCGCCCCCGCACTTCGTAGACCCTATAGTCAGGGTGAGGCGGGACGAGAGGGGGCCGGTTCCATTGTTCCCCAGGGCGACTGACATTGGGACGCAACGAAATAGGGGGCCGATCCCCCTCGTCGGCGGTGTGTGCCGGGGCCCGCCTGCACAGCCATTTGCGCTTATGGATGAGCAGAGCGCGGGAAGGCGTCCGCGGCGCTGCGCGTGCGCGACGCCGCAAAGCTTCGCGCTGGTGGCTGCGGCCGCCTCTGTTTTATGAGTTGCTGCTCGCAGACCCGCCCCTCCAGCTGCCACCCGTACGCCGCGCCCCCGCCCTCGCCCCCGCCCCGCCGCAGGAGCTCATGCGCGGCGGCGGCAGGAAGCTGCCCACCTCCACGCCCCACCTGCTTGCTGAGCTGGCGGCGGCGCTGACGGCGCTCGGCTGGCGCGAGCGGCCGCTATGGCTAGCCCTGGCCGACGCTGCCAAGGCCCTGCTCCCCCCGCCGCCGCCGCCGCTTCTGGGCTTGCAGCAGCAGCATCGTCACCCGCAGCAGCAGCAGCAGCAGCAGCAGCAGCAGCAGCAGCAGCAGCAGCAGCAGCAGCACCAGCACCAGCAGCAGCGGCAGCAGCAGCAGGGGCAGCAGAAGCAGCCGCAGCAGGGGCAGCAGCGGCGGCAGCAGGGGCAGCAGGAGGGGCACCAGGAGCGGCAGCTTCCCGACGCGCAGCTGCGCGAGGAGCAGCTGCTCAGCGCCTCCCGCTGCGCCTTCCAGGCGCAGGACCTGTCGCGGCTCGCCGAGGCCTTCTCACTTGTCGGATTGGATGACGAGGATCTTTTTGAGAGCCTGGCAGCCGCCGCCGTGGCCAAGGCGCCGCTGCTGGAGCTGCGGGACCTGTCGGCGCTGGCCGGCGCGTACGCGC